TTTTTTATTTTATTTATTTATTGTGTGTGTGTGTGTGTGTGTGTGGCCAGCTCAGCCCACCAGGGGGCGCGGCCGGCTGGCATGTGGTGCTGGGGGATTGAACCGCGGTCCCTGTGCTTTGCCAAGCTTGTTCAAGTAGGTGCTTTAGACCACTGAGCCATCTCACCAGCCCCAGAAGAACCCATTTAAAAGATATTTTTTTTTTTGGCGGAGCCGGGGATTGAACTCAGGCCTTTGCGCTTGCCAGGGAAGTGCTTATTCCACTGAACCATCTCCCTGGCCCTTAAAAGATCATTGAAGGGCCAGGCAAATAGTTCAGCAGATTAAAGCACCCGCAAGCAGACGTGGAGGCCAGGGGTTTGATCTCAGGCCTGCTGTGCTGGCACGGCCTCTGGGGCGTGCTGAGACAATTATTGAGACTGGGCAGGGTGGCTTGCCTATAATCTCAGCACTTGGGAGGCTGTAAACAGGAGAATCACTGAGTCCAATCAAGTAGTGCAACCCTGAACACCCTGTAGACCCTTCCCTAAAAAATACAATAAATAAATAAAATTAAAAGGTCATTGAAGGGGGGCCGGGGAGATGGCTCAGTGGAATAATCGCTTCTCTGGCAAGCGCAAGGGCCTGAGTTCAATCCCCGGTTCCGCCAAAAAAAAAAAAAAAAAAAAATTGAAGATTTCCACAAAACAATATCAATCTTAAGTCTAGGCATATTTTTGAAAAGGCCAAAATTTACAGCTGAAATTCACTAAGTGAAAATATGAATTGAAAATATTCTAGGCATTTGTTAAAATTGAATATAATATGGATCCAGATCCACACAGCTCTGAGTTTGTTTTCACTTTAATTTTTCCACATGAAATGTTGGCATTGGAATGGAAGAATCTCAGGTGACACCCATGATTTCTAAGGAACCAGGAGGATTTCTTGTTACAAAAGGTGGTATGACCTTTAATTCTCCAGCTGCCAGCCAGCTCTGATGAAATGTTGCCAGTCGTTGCTAGCTCTGCATACATATGTCTGTGTCCTAATAAAAGTGAAACCTTTGGCTTTGTTATTGAGGGAGAAAGTTAAAGATTGTAGGCTGCTGTTTGTCCAGTTTGCCCCATGTTGATTTATTACCAGACATGTGAAGACTCAAAACAAGCCAAGAGGGCAAGGTATAAATTAGCTTTACCCTAAGAAAACTAGCCCCCCCCCCCACCTTTACCTTGAAAGAAATAGGGTTGGGGGCATCGTAAGAAGAGAGCACATTTTCTGTGTTAGACTGAGAAAGCCTCAAAAGGAAAGCTGGTTTTCACCATGGCCAGTTGGGTTGCTGTTAGGGGAGAAAACCTGAACATAACATTGGTGCAGAGGAAAAGCCAAAACAGTTGAATCCAGGTGTGGTATCTCACACCTGTAATCCCAGCACTCGGAAGGCTAAGGCAGGAAGATCAGTGCAAGTTCAAGGCCAGCCAGAACTGCATAGTGAGACTTTGTCCCCAAACACCACTAGTAATAATAACAAAATAAGATAGATTAAGTTGAAGTTCTTCACTTTCCAAAGAACTGAAATCCTTCTGTGGTGTCAGCAAGAACTGAGGAGAGACTGAACTGAAATGCAGACGAACCCCAGAGCAAACTAGGACTCAACTCCATAGTTAGAATAGAAGAGCGGCCGGGAATAGTGGCACATGCCTGCAGTCCTAGCACTGTAAGAGACTGAGGCAGGAGGAGCACAAGTTCAACCTGAGCAATTTAAGTAATCTTTGTAAGATCCTGGCTCAAAAATTTAAAAAAATAATTTTAAATGCTAGGGATGAAACTCCATACCAAGGTTCTAGGTTTAATTCCCGGTGACCCATAGCACACACATGCACACAGACACACGCAATTGCACACATGCACACATGTGTGTACAGGACGGCTTCAGGCAGAGGCACTGTCACTGGAGTAGAATTCAGTAGGGGCTACAGAAAAGATGGGAGGTCGGGAGGGGAGATGGGGAGTGGACGCAGCTGCCAGAACACAAATCCCGAATCTGGGATACTGGGCTGGTTTAGAATCCTAAAGTGCAAAACCCGTCATGAAACTGTATCCCCCGTGTATTTCATCAGGATCATAAGAGATGACACAATACTGGGAGAGACGTTAGCCTATTCCACACTCCCTTGCCCTAACTGGACAGCATGTCTTCCAGGCAGGCACCTGTCATCGCATTGTAAACTTCTAGGGGAAAGAGTCTGACTCTACAAAACTATTGGCTCATGCCCTGACTCTTTTATCAATGAGAGAGGAGCTAGAAACAGTTTTGGCTCCCAGGAAATTACCCCTAAGATCATTCCCTGAACACTGTTTGCCACTGCGGAAAAAGCCTCTCAGATAACTTTATGGAATCACCTCAGAGTTTCTTCCTAGCAGATACCTTCTTCACAGTTCCACAGCCTCCACCTCTGGCACCTTACACAGTAGAAGGGCTGAAGCGAAGGAGCTGCTGTCTCAGCAGCAAAAGTTACAGTGATCAGTAGGGCCAGAAGCAGGACCTGTTTCAAGGCAGAAGGGAAAGACAGCCCCTAAGTTCACTGTAAGCTAATGTGTGTTACTTAATTGTGATTTATAATACATGCCACTTTGAAATTGCAGTTCCAAAACAAGGAATGTTTTCTGCACTTAAAACTTGTCTCAAACTGTAAAGTCTTTGTACACAATTAAGGTTAAGAGACTACACTTTGGATTAGGAGATGCTCTACAGTAAAAAAAAATTGAAAACAAGATAATCTTTATGTTGAACATCAGAAATCATAACAGAGGGTCTGTCATTTGTGATTAAAAACACTAGAGTCAATTTTAATTTAATTTTTTTTTTCTTTTTGTACTGGAGATTGAACTCAGGACCCTGTGCTTGCCAGGCAGGCAATTATTCTAGTGAGCTATCGCTCCAGCCCTCAAATTTAATTTTATTTGAAGGGCTAGCCAGATAGCTCAGTGGACTAAAGTGCCTGCTTGGGCAGAGCACAGCAGCCAGGGTTCCATTCCCAGCACTCTGTGCCGGCCCCGCCCCCGGGGCACGCTGAGACAGCGATTGAGACTGGTTGTGGTAGCACACATCTGTAATCCCAGCGCTTGGGAGGCTGAAAACAAGAGGATCCCTAGGAGTCTGATCTGTGTAGTGAGACCCCGTAGACCCTGTACTAAATCATATATATGTATAGTCACATTTTTTTTTAAATTTGTGTGTGTGTATGTGTGTGTGTGTGTGTGTGTGTGTGGCCAGCTCAGCCCACCAGGGGGCGGGGTGGGGCTGGCTGGCATGTGGTGCTGGGGGATTGAACCGCAGTCCCTGTGCTTTGCTAAGCTTGTTCTAAGTAGGTGCTTTAGACCACCGAGCCATCCCACCAGCCCCCTGTATAGTCACAATTGCTCTGAAGTTTTTACTTTTCTTACAAGCACAAAGAAGTCAGTTTATAACCTTGCACTTGAATACAGTATTCTTAGGCTCTACTGACTGGCTTCACAGTTTCCCTTTAGTTAAAACTGAATCTTTTTAAAAATGAAGACTCTTATTTTTCTTTGTTCCTCGAAAGCCTTCAGGGCACTTTTGGCCAGCGGGAGAGTTGTGAGGTTCAAACTCCAGCAACCTGAGGCTGACAGCTTTGTGGAAGCAGCCACTTAAAGGCCTGAGCTAGGGCCAGGCCCCCAAGACTCTTATTTTTCAACATATTTCCTTTTCAAGCTGAGGATATATAGCATTTTTGTTCCTGTGCCTTTCATTTCTCTGACACCTCCTTACTCCTAAAATAACTCTCTAAAAGTCCTGTTGATAATGGCATCCCTGGAGGCCCCAGAGTTTGTATCTTACCCACAGAAATGTGCCCTGGTTATTCTCAGCCTCCCTGGGGGTCCCTTGTAGATGCTCGGCCTCCTCTGGGCCAAGGTGACCTATGCCAGTGAGGTGGCAGAAGCTGACAGTACTCCAGATCTGATGTTTCAGCCGCCAGCCAGAACAGCCACGCGAGGTGTGGAGCCAGCGCAGAGACCCAGGGACCCCAGTTACTGTGCATGGGCTCTGTCCTTGAGCTAACTGAACTGTTCACCTTCCAATCATTACCAGCAGTGCACATTAAGACTTGTGACCAATAGAAGCTCACTGAGCGAGTTGGATGCTCAGAGCTCACCTTGGGCTGCCTCAGACCCAGGCGTGCCCAGGGACCAAGCAGCCTCAGGCATGGATCCGAGGGCGAGCTTGAACTGAGGACATAGGGTTCTCAGCTTCCCCTCCTCCCAAATAGACATCCAGTATTATTAAAAGTTGGAAGCAATTGTCTCCTCCCAGCAGCTGACCCCAAGGTTGCTTTTAAACTCATTAGAGTCTTCTGAGCATCCTACAAGACCTGCAGAGCTACTGCCCAAAAACGCTCCCACAGGTCCCTATGCAGACATGGTATGGTGTTCACAGCCCCTTGGCCTGAACAGAGCCTTAGCAGTGGAAAGTCGCAGCCTTGCCCTGAACTTCGAAGAATCTTTTTCTTGGAGTAGCACTTCTCAAGAGTGAGAAGATAGCTTCTGCTGAAAGGGAAAGAGTGTATCTTAAATCCTAGAGATTATTCACATCCTCAGAAATGGTCGTTAGAACCCAGCTGGAGAAAATGTCTCCCAGGGACCCCAAGAGGGCAGAGCTCATTGAATGACTATTGCATTGTCAGCCCGTGGAATGGTGCCTGGTACGTTATTGATTATTAATAGATATCTTTTGGGTCTATTGATGAGATAAAGGGGCCCAGAAGTGATTCAGGAGCTCAGGAATAGTCAGTGAGGTTGTTTATGGTCCCAAGAAGGGGCTACCAAAGGGTTCACTGGTAGCACCTTGCATCATAACTGGTGATGAACACACGCGACAGGGAGACGCCTCCACCTGAGCGCGGGGTCTCGAGACACAGACCACGGCTAGCTCTACCACGCCTGTTGGGGCGATGGGAAGTATTGTGAGCCGAGCACCATGAGTGTACAGCTGCCTGTGCCACAGGTTCTGATGCCAGGTAGCTGTGTCTTGCGGGCTTCCCTTACATTTCACAGGAAATAACGTAAGGCTTCCTCTCCACATGGCTGTGTTTGGCCTCCCACCCTGAGCCAGGGTCGGCTGCAAGGGGCGCGAGAGCTCCGCTCAAGTCAGCACTCCAGCATCCAAAGCAAAGAAGGATACTGGAAATTGGATTGCCCCCAGTGCCTGGGACAGGTCCCTGTGACAGCTCTTCGAAACTTAAAATAGGCTCCTGATAAAGAGTATAAGTGACAGCAACCCACATTCTAACCTGGAAAAAGTTAAAGACGTGACATACAGCGGAATTACCCTCCCCTTGCTATTTTGCTTTTTCATTCAGTAGCTCTGTTTTGCCCAGGAAAGTTGTGTCAACTGGGCACTGAGGGCACTTGCCCTCACACAGCTTCGCAGGCGCGGGGGGCGGTGCTTAGGGCTTGTGTGGGGTTCTGGACATCCCTGAACCCAGAGATTGTGCACTTACTCCATGGAGGCTGCGGCCCTGCACGCGTTCTTCTTTCCTTTGCTTGAATGCTGATACACATGTTGTGCACCCAGCAAAGCCTTTCGGTCTGTTCCTGTGGGCCAGAGAACTAGTCAGTGCGCGGGTTTAGATGTTGTCCCCGCCTGAGAACACTCACATGACAGCAGCCAAGTCGCAGTCCCCATCTGCTCTTTGGATGTGACACGCAGTCACTCTTTCTAGAAGCCTTCTGGAAAGATGATGCGAAACCTCAGTGCAGCAGCTGGCAGCGATGGGCAGGATGGCTGAAAGAAGGCAGAAGGGGCTGTCGGGTCAAACTGGGCTTGAACTCGCTGCAGCCCAGGCTGGCCGGCCCTGCTCCTCCTCCTCGCCCCGCCCCACCCCCAGCCCAAGTGCTGGGTTCCGTGGTTAGGCCTGCGCCATCATACGTGGCTAGACCTCAACCTCCACATTGTCTCCAAAGGAAACAGTGCTATGGAAGCCAGAATCAACTTCCACAGAAACACGTAAAATGGAGAAATTAAATCCACTTAGGAAGATAGGGTGGCGGGGACGTGACGTTTGGGCTGCGTTTTAACGGAGTTCACATTCATCTGACCGCAAAAGGGAATGGCGCACGCTAAACAGGAGGAACTACGTGGGGTGCTTCGGGTGGAAGAAGGCAGAATGCCTGGCCAGGCTTTTGTCTCACAGAACCCTAGATCAAACCTGTGGAAGGTGGTGTTTCAGGCCAGGGCAAATGGAACCTGCCAGGAGTCCGGTCCGAGCTAACAGAGGAAGCTCAGGTCACCTTCAGTTCCTGTACTGAGGCCAGGTACCCTCTCCCTCGTCTCAGAGCCCCATGCAGGACCAGTACGAAATCCCTCGAGAAAGACAGCCTCTTGGCTTTTCCTCCTGCTTCATGGAACCCGCGAGCCTGACACTGCCCCCTGTAGAGCGCGTCATGGCTTCAGGCGTGGGTGAGTAACAGCAAAGCTTTAGTCCAGCAGTGTTACCTACTGCCCACGTCAGTAAGGCCCAAATGTATAATAGAAAGTGTGAGACAAAATGTTCAGATGAGAAGGGGAGCTGGGAGGGAAAAGGAAGGTGAAAGAGACGAACATGCGAGAAGGGACAGCGGAAGCGAGGAGCAAGGAGGGTGCAAGGGAGCAGGGAGGACGAAACAAGCATCAAGGTGTGTCTGCAGGCACAAAGTCCCTGTGGGGTGGACAGCGTCGTGATGGTACCCGACGTGTTCCAAGAGGCTTCATGACGAAGGAAACCAGAGTGCACACATTAGCTCTGAGTGTATTTTAACTGCATATTTGTATAACTTTACAAAAGGTTCTCCGTAACTTTTTCTTTTAGGCAGCGTCTCACTATGTAGCCCAGGCTGACCTCAAACTTACGGAAATCTTCCTGTCTCAGCCTCCTGAGTGCTGGGGTCACAGGCACGGGGCGTCATGCCCAAGTCTCGATAACTTCTAAGTCCTGTATTGCAGCTGGGCAGCGAGCGTGGTGGCCTAAGCGCCTGCCTGGCAAGTGCGAGGTCCCCAGTGTGATCCCTGGAACCCTGGGCGCAGCGAGCCGACCTGAAACAGGGCCTGGTGGCACACGCTGCAATCCTGGCACTGGAAAGGCTGAAACAGGAGGCTCACTGAGCCAAGCTGTGTAGAGAGCCCCTGTATCAGAAATCAAATGAAATAATAAAAAATAAGCTGCATTTTACTCAATAGATGTGCTTGAAATACAGCCACACAAGTGATGCACAAATTCTGCTCGGTCCTCCTGCAATTTAGCTGTCATGCCAACCTGAAGCTGCCTAAAGAGGAAGCGTTTGCAGAGGCAAGGCAGCTCGCGTTGAGCAGGCCTTTGTTTCTACCTGGATACAGAAATGGACTTTGCATTACACCCCACATGTAAGCCTATACAGAGGCACAGAAAGCACCGATCAGCCAGCTCCACGAGAACTGGCCTTGGGCTCGCTTTGTAGCCCAGGCTGGTCTTGAACTCATAAAGATCCTCCTGCTTCAGCCTCCCGAATGCTGGGATTCCAGGTGTGCACCACCGCTGGCCAGCAAACGTTTACTGAGTGCCCACTCTGTGACAGATCCTAACTCTGCATCTGAAATGGAGAAAAGACAAGGCATAGTCTGTCCTTCCCATGCTTAGGTAGATAATTGCAGCACAGCAGAGTAAGTGCCGGGTTGCAGCGAAGCTCGGTGGAAGTGTGCTTTCTGTGGGTCTGATCCTAGTACCAAACTAAACAAGGTGTTAGCAGAGGGATGTTCAGAATGCCATACGGTTGTCAGCGGATCATTTTGTGGTGAGCAAATTATACTTTTCCAATTCTAGTGAATCTGGGGTCTTGGTGGGCTCCCGTTTTCAGGCATGGTCACCTGAGGCGGGGGTCCAGGGCCAGGAACACCCCCACCCCAGGACCTTCCACCCAGGCTTCACCTCTGCCAGCCGTCTGCTCTAACCCTTCCAACACACGAGAGATGTGGAGGACATTTTTGGCATAACGTGAGCAAACCATGTGTTAAAGAATGTAAGTCATCCGAGTGCCAATGTTTGTTCAAGCAGTGGAGTGCCTGGGACCTATATGCGTTTAGTAGACTGGATTCCGTTTCTCATGCACATAGGTAAGACTGGCTTACCTGGAGATCATTATGTCAATTAATTATCAAAAAGTAGGAAGCAACTTAGCGTTTACTGCACGTTGGCAGATAGGACAGCGGCTCGCGCGCCACCAGCTGAACGACCTTGCAGGGTGCACCGGGGTTGAGGGACGCACGTGGACAGCGTGGATTGGAGGCCCAGCTAGGATCCTGGTAGGTAACACCGCCCCCTAGAGGATCCCTTGCGCAGACTCCTAAGTGTCAGCATTGCCGTTTTTAAATGGTCAGCCGCTTCCTTTGATTTCGGCTATGACTCCAGAATTTTGACTCCAGATTTACCAGTGTCAGTTAGGCTGAAAAGGAGAAGAATGTGTGAATTCTTGTGCAGTTATGTTATTTTTGTTCACATGATAGTTGTACTTGTCTTCTGTTCACAAATCCGTTTCTGTCATGCTTGCATATGTTGCGTGTTAAGGACAAATTAACTTCATCGGCGCACTGGATGGCTTGCTTTAGCTTTCTGTTCCCTTTGTCTGTGCAAGTTAAGGTTCACTTGCCCTCAAATTTTGGCCAAAACCCCTGAAACCATCTGGGCATGGTATCTGAGGGAAAGATGCTCACCTCTCACTTTATAATTGTTGGCTTAAATGTTTTCATCTCACTGAATCAATTTTGTCATAGCAATTTTCATGAGAAATTGTCTATTTTATCGGCACTATCTAATCTGTTGCCACAAAGCTTCGCAGTATCCTGCTGTGTCTGTTCTTTTATTCTGTACTGTTTGAAGAAGCAGCTTTTGCAGAAGGCAACAGTTTAGAAGTTTACATCTAAGTATTGAGTAAAATCTATAAACTTTAAAATATACTTTGCTTAGAATCCAAAAACTGTCTTAACTCATGGGTTAAAATGGGCGTCACAGACTGTGAGAAACAAAAAGTGCCCCTTAACACAGTTAAATTTAGCCTTATGGGCATTGGTCTACACACACACATACATAGCTGCACACACTCCACACACTAAAACAAGCACTTTCTTTTTTTATTTTGAAGAGAATTAAAAAATAATTAAAAAAATTAAAAACAATGCAAAATTTCAAGAAACAAGATGGTAGGAATCCAGCAGTGGTTATGCTGTATGCTGTTGTCTTCAAAGTGGTTCAGATCAGCAGATAGAAGCCTGTAAATTTGGTCAATGAAAAGTTTAATTGATGTAGAAATTAGTAGTGCAAATATATACATATATTTCCTCCTTCTTGCTGTCATCCCTGCTGTTCTTTCTGAGTAGCTTCTTTCCCTTTCACAATATCTATTGTGCATTTCAGATTTCATTTACTGCATAGCCTTTGGGGACACCGCCCTGAGCACCCCATACCTGGAGCTGGCCACAGCTGCTCAAAGTTGTTGCCTTCAAGGGTTTGTGTCTCTAGGTCAGGGCCAGGGGACAAGAGCTGGAGCATGGGGGGCTGGTTGGTTCTGGCCCCAGTTGAATTGCTGAATTATTAGGGTGGTCATCTAATGTGGCTAAAGCCCTTGAGCCCACAGCTTATCTTCCCAGAGGCCACCTCCCTTCTTCTCCAGCACAGCCCAAAGTGCAGTTTCCTTTCACCTTTCCCACCGCCTCAGGGAAGACCCCAGTCAACTCCTCACATATTTCTAAACATCCCCATCACACTCTACCCCTAACAGATTTTATTCACTCTTTCAGATTCTTGAACTAAGACAATACAATGTTTACACATGCGGGTCTGATTTATTTCACTTATGAGTATGGTCTCTAGTTGCATCCATTTACCTATAAAATCCTCAAGTTTATCTTTTTTTTTTTTTTTTGCGGAACTGGGGGTTCAAGTTTATCTTTTTTATAGCTAAGTAATAGTCCATTGTGTAAAAATACATCTTTTTATCAATTCCACAGTTGATGGGTATGTGGGTTGTTTCTAAGACTTTACTGTGATAAACTGTGCTGCTATAAACATGCATGCATATATATCGCTGTGGTATGATGTTTTCAGTTCTTCTGGGAAAATACCCAGAAGAGGGTTGGCTGGGTTGAATGGGACCTCCAGTCCTCGTTTTCTGAGGAGTCTCCACACTTACTCCCACAGTGCTTGCACCAGTCTGCACACCCACCAACAGTGGAGAGGGTTCCTTTTTCCCCACCTTCCCTCCAGAATTTGTTTGGTTGGTTTCTTAATGATAGCCATTCTTTCTAGTGTAAGATGGAATCTCAGTGTTTTAATTTGCACTTCTCAAGTGATCAATAATATTGAACATTTTTTCATCTATTTATTTGCCACTTGTATTTCTTCATCTGTGAAATGTGTATTCATCTCAGATGCCCATTTTTGGATTGGGTCTTTGAATTTCGGTAGCCTGCTTCTTGCTTTGTTTTGTTTTATTCTTTACATGTTCTAGATAGAAGTCCTTTGTCTGAGGGACAGTTGGCTAAACTTTTTTTCCAATTTGTGGGTTTGGGGTCAGAGAGCTAGCTCAGTGCAGTAAGTGGCTGCCTGGCAAATGCAAGGTGCCAAGTTTGATCCACAGTACCAAAAAAAGACCCAATTTGTAGGTTTTCTTTTCACTCTGTTGGTTTCTTCTTCTTCTTCTTCTTCCTCTTCTTCTTCCTCCTCCTCCTCCTCTTCCTCCTTCCTCCTTCCTCTCTTCTTCTTCTTCTTCCTCTTCCTC